AGAAAAATCAAATGAGTACTCATCCTACCATATATCAAGAGAGGATGCAGAATATGATTCAAGCACTGAAAATTCAACCACTGAAGATGAGGACTTCTCTTTTGCTCTCTTCAACCTCTTTTCTGACTAAGCTCTGTAAGAGTCAAGCTTAGTGACTTAAAACAAGCTCACTTTGGAGGAAGTCCCATGTCTATCCATGTATATAACTTTCTATTTTTCTTGTTATTTTTGATATTTTTGTTTAAGTGTTTCAGGTTTGTTTTAGTGACCCTAAGGGAGTCAACGGTCGAGTAAATTTAAACCAAGTCAAGAAAAATCTCAACCGTTGATCGAGTAGAATGAGAAGGAGCATTTTGATCCATTGATTTGGATGACCAAATGAGAGGAGCATCACCGCCGTTTGATCGAGTGACTTTTTGAAATTTATTTTGGTTCGTTTGATCGAGTAAACAAGAATGAGAAGCTCTCCACCGTTGGAACAAATTTTTCGCACTTCAAGAGGATGCTCGATCCTTTACTCGAGCTCTCATTATTTGAAGACCAAGGCATAATTTCGTGACCCCACTTGCTCCCCCAACACTTCTTTACTCGATGAACAAAGCTATTACCCATAACCCTCACCATATCCAATCAACTTTTCTATCCTTTCCCAAAGAAACCAAACACCATTCTCCTCCACCCTTTAACTTCGACAAACCGTCATTGAAAATCTGTATTTCATCATCTCGTTTTCGCAACTCCCTCACAAAGCTTTGAAGTCTTCATTCCAAACCCTTCCCCTAAGACGCTCCCTATCACTCTTTAAGAATCCGTTCCCCTTCACCATTACTTTACCAAAGTTACTCGATCACTCCAAAGTCTATCCTCAAGCATTCAATCAGTTTCAAGCTCCAAATTTCATCACCAAAAAAACTGATTCCCTTTTCCTTTGATACCTCTTAGAGAAGTAGTTCTTGTTCGCCTTGCTGAAGCTCACCACCAATCTCCCTGGATTCAAGAAGGAAGAGTTCATCTCGGGCAAGAAGATCCTCTGTTGATAATGAGGAAGTTGAGGCATTTGACATGAGTGGCATGACTGAACGCCAAATTCGCCAACCTCGCCTTGCTCAAAGATCAAGCTTGATTCAAGGTGGAAGTTCAAGCCGCTCAACCATGCAAAGAGAAGAAGTAGCTCGAGGAAAGAGGGTCGTTGAAGCTGAAGAAGAACACCATGAAGAGGCACCCTTTGAAGAGGCGGTTCTGAGGAAGAGGTTGAGATCATCGGGGATGATACACCAACCCCTGTTGAGAAAACAACTCCGGCGGATCGCTATCTCTTCAAGTTTAACCACTCGGAGCTTAGACCTTCTCTTCTACCACTACCATGCAAGAACCGGACGTCGGTGAAGACAAGGCGCAACATCAATTTCATGCCATCTTCCTTTGCCTTGAACCAGAATATAATCAGGATCCATAGAGAATCTCCACTGTAGTTACTCATGATGAAACCTGAAAATAGATAAAACTCAAAGATGAACGTTAATACGTTAGTTCTCGCAAAAACAAAAACACAATCCAACGGTGTATACCGGTCGAGTAAACCAGTCGGTTTTGATTTTTTTTTTTTATTTGGATTGTGAGTTGTTGGTCTGAGTGATTGGTGAGCAAGAGCCGGTGTGAAGATGGTAGCACCTTGGTCGAGTGTTGAATATGAAGAGGGAAATGCGGTCGAGTGTCGGTGGTAGAGCTTCACTCTTCTTCTCTTTGATTTGGCAATCGAGAGATCTTGAACATGGTTATGGTTGAGCGAGACTCACGGTGGTCGAGTAAAGGAGGTGATGAAGATGGTGATGAGAGATCGAGTGATTGTGAGAGGCAAGAGAGGCACAATCGAGTATGGTTGCTGAATCGAGTGAAATGGTGATGAATGAGAGATCGTGACGAGCTTTGCGTGGGGATGGGAGCAGCGACGTTGGAAACGATGGAGAGATGAGGAGCTTGAAGGTGATAATTGTTCAGCGGTCGAGTAAGTGAAGCTTGAATGGAGGAGAAAACGATTTGATTGGTTGATGGTGAAGATGGTCGAGTTGTTAAGAGCGAGAAGTGGTGAAGGCGACTTGGTGATAGAGGTCGAGTGAATGAAATGGTGAGGTCGTGTTGTTTCCTTGGAGAGAGGGAGAGGCGGAGAGAGCTGTGGTCGAGTGAAACTGAGACGAATGAGAGGTGGTGGTGGCGAAGAGTGGTCGATCAGATCGAGTGTTTGGTGAGCTTGAGAGTGAGGGTCGATGAGAGATGAGCTTGAGAGAGATGGTCGAGTACAGGTTGCGGAAAAGATGAGGTAAAAATTGTTGTGGTCGAGTGAAGAGTGACGACATTGGTGATTTGAAGAGATGGAGGTCGAGTGAAGATAAGGGTAAGGATGAGGTTTGGTTGGTTGAGAAGAGATGAGGGAGATCTCATGTCTGTTGGTTAGGAGCGTGGGAGACATAGGGTGCAGCAGTGGGTCACTCGTCTGTCTTTTTGTTCTGAATCATTACTCTTTCTTCACTACGAAAATCAGGAAATCCCGCAATCTTCTGTAAACTTGATAAACTCCCTGTAAGACTCTGTAGCTTCTGTTGGTCGAGTAAAATGATGATTTAAATTTTTTTTGGTTTTTAAACATCAATCATACTCGACCAAATTACTCGAGTGCAATGTCTCTAGGTGCAACATAAAATTTTCAATTCTTTGTACTTCACTCGACTGGTACACTCGATCTCCAGGCTCTCTGTAGCTGAAGAGTTTTGAATTTTCACTCTATCTCAACGTTGTTTCTTTGTTCCTGAGAACCACAAACACAACTAAAACAAATCAAAAATAATAAGAAAGTAAAAATTATTTACAAGGATAATCATGGGACTTCCTCCCAAGTGAGCTTGTTTAAAGTCTCTAGCTTGACTCCTCATACTTATCAAGAAGAAAATGAATGATAGAGAGGGTCTGCGTAGTCCTCTCTTGTATCATCATCATACTCAGCGTCCTCCCTGGAGAGGTCTGCAGCAAAACACTCAATTCCCCTTTCTTCAAAATAGGCTTCTTTCTCTTCTGGAGGGTAATTTATCTCTTCAAACAATCTTGAAGTGAACTTCTTTCTCGGGATAGTGTCAATCCCGCCTTTAGGTTGAGCTTCCGTCTGCAACTGATTCAGCTTACTCTTAAGTTCCTCGATAGTGTGGGCTAACTTCTCTATACCCTTTCTCAGTCCCATACCCTTCTCTTGGGATCACTCTATAATCTTCAGAGTTTTTTTCATCTTCTGTTGACCCTTGTGGAATTTCGTTGATGTCAAACTGCAACTTGATGTGCTTTCCAAGGTTGAGACTTATTTTCCCTTCCCAAACATCTATCACTGCTCCCACTGAAGCTAAGAAGGGCCTTTCCAGGATTAAGGGATCCTTATGCTCTACTTCCATATCCAGCACCACGAAGTCTGTAGGCACTTCCACTCCATTAATCATGACTCGTAGATCTTTCAGCATGCCGAAGGGTTTTTTTGAAGACCTATCCGCAAGGAACAAAGTAAGGTCACAAGGTTTGTACTGAATAAACTCTAACCTTCTTGCCACAGAGAGTGACATTAAACTGACAGAGGCTCTGAGATCGCACAGGCAATCGTTGAAGGCTAATTCCCCAATGGAACATGGTAGAGTAAAAGATCCAGGATCTTCTAACTTTTCATGAACAATCTTCTTATCAGCAGCTCGAGATAGAGAAGCATCACATTCATCATCTGAGTCGTGATACATCTTGATTCTTTCCAGTATCAAATTTCTCACATCTTTGTGAGGATCAGGAATGAGGTAGAGAACTTCCATTAGTAACATCACTGCTTCAATCTCGTCTAGTTGTTTTGCTGCAACAGACTTGTATCTCTCCATCCACGCTTTCCTGAATGTCCATGGGAGAGCACGTGAGGGTAATGGAGTAGGTTTGAATCGTTTTACCATTCTCTCGATTATGGCGGCCTGCTCTTCTGAGGTGGATTAAATGAGATGGCGAGAACCAGCATAATGGTTGAATTCAACAATAGAGACTTTAATCTGAGTAGAAGCCTCCCCTTCTTGAACATCATTGTCCCTAAGTCAGGGACAGGTCGAGTTGACAGCTCTTGATCATGGTAGATAGTGATGGCGTGAGTAGTTGCATACTCCTTTGGATTCTGTATTGACTTCCCAGGAAGTCCTGTAAGTTTAGGTGCAGAGGTAGATGCTGATTGGCCTACCAAGTATCTGACTTTGGTGTTCAATGCCTCCACTTTGGCATTAAGGTCATTATAGCTGTAGTCCAGCTTATGGTGCAATTCAGATAACTTCTTAGCAATTTCCATGGAGCTAGATGCTTGTCTCTGTAGCAGCTGTTGTACCATCTGTTTCATTTCAGCATCAGGAGCTGTAGGACCTTAGTTTTGCTTAGGTGCAAACCCAGGTGGTGGTGGTTGCTGGTAGTTCCCCTGAAATTGCTGCTTAGGAACGAAACCTTGGTTGTAGGGAACAAAAGGTTTGTTCTAACCTTGTTGTTGTTGTGGAGGATAGACCTGATCTTGTGGATTAGCAACGTTGGTGCTGCGATAGGAGAGGTTGGGGTTGTTGGTTTTCAAGTTGTTATACCCTTTGTAGCCACCCTGGTTGTTGTTGATGTAGCTGACTTCTTCCAATTGGTTACCCTCCCCATCTTGGACTTGATACTGCTCGTCATCAACAAGGAGGTGCACATGCTTCTGCTGGCTAAGAAGGATCATGTCCAGCTTGTCATTCGGCGCTTTGATCTCCTTCTTGTGTTTGTCATCAGAGTCAGCTGTGCTTCTGATGGTCCTATCGCAGTCCTCGTTGTAATTAGCATCTGATTGAGCAAGGTTCTCAACCAATTCCCAGCCTTCTTTAACATCTTTGTTCTGGAAATTCCCATCACTTGCGGTATCCAGAAGCATTCTGATGCTTGGTAAAATGCCTCTATAAAGAGTGCTGAGCAGAGAGGGTTTAGTGCAATGATGGGGGCATTGGTTGGTATAACCCTTGAAACGCTCTCATGCTTCACAGAAGCTTTCACCAGCCTTCACAGTAGAGGTGTACTTGGATCAAGAAGACAACAAGAAAAACACACAGTTGGCAACCGAATTGAATATTGAAAAAGAACTTGATCTAAGCAAGTTTGAAATGTCAAATTTAACAAACAAACACCCAATTGGCAACGTCGCCAAATTGAAAATAGGTTTTTAGTCAATTATCCTAAAACACCAATCATATCATTGTAGTATTTTAGGTTGTCAATCCAAATGGGTGTGATGCTAATAATCAAGATGTGATCAGAAGTCACTAAGTCAAGCCATGCAATAACAGGTTTTGGTGTGTTCTAGCTGTCCTGGGTGAACATGCATAAAACAGAAAATTAAGCAGAAAGAGTAAAACACTCGACCAACACAGCTCATTGCAGAGCAGTGGGTGAGGTCGAGTGCCTGATCGAGTAACAGACAGTAAATAAAACAAAGATACTCGACTGCACAATCTGTTGCCAAACAACTGGGTGGTCGAGTATCAGGTCGAGTAACAAGAAAGAATTGCAGAAACTAAGCAACAGATGACAAGATGCAGTAAACAACAGTAGAGTAAACAATAAATTCAATAAGATAAAGAATTCCCGAGGATGGGGTAATTGAGTAGTTTCGTTTCCTCAGTTTACAGGTGATTGACATGCTCAATAAATTATCCCTAGACAACAAGTTCTTTAACCAAATCTAAGTTCCACCGCAACAGAGACCCTCAAGTTAACCTAGTCCCAGACTCAATCACCATTGACGAGAGCTAACCTAACAAATATTACGAATCAACAAGTTAAAGCCAAAACGCTCCCTGCAACCAATACCTTGGTACAAGGCCACAAATCTCTGGAATTAGTGGTTCATACATTTCATCAAACGCCTTTTGGGCGCGGAAATGTCTGGGCTCAAATTCCAGTTGATCAGAAAGCAAAAGGCATTAAGAACAACTAATCCAGAAGGGATCTATCAATCAAACTCAACTACCCAGCATACTGAGAATTGTAAACTACTCTAACCCATCCTCAGATACCTATGCACTACTCAGACATCATTGGAGAAAACATAAACGTTGAATGGAATGAAAACATGATAACAACAGAGTAATAGCAAGATGGTAACAAGATGAAAAACAGTAAACGAAATCAAGAACAAATACTCAATACTGAATAGATAAAGGGAAATTCGGATTACAAAAGGTCAAGAACACAGTGTCTACGAAATAAAACTTAGATAAAAACTTGTTCACGAAAATGTAAAGTACATGCTAGTTATAGCAAAATATTCTGAAACCCTAATACTCAAAACGACGCAATATTGAGACGGATTAAGAACTGTACTCCACCCAGGTTGTCGAGTGAGAGGTCGAGTGATAAGCTGGAGTCTTCTTTTCTTCCTTGTGCTCGAGTGTCTGGTTGAGTGCGAAATGAAGAAGACTCTAAAGCTGGCAGTCGAGTATGTAGTCGAGTGATAGAGATGTTGGTACTCGGCTTGGTGGTAAAGTGATCGAGTGAAGGTGATGAATGGACCTTGTGGTAGAGTAGGGTGTCCGAGTGAAGGTGAAGTGGTGGAGGTGATGATACTCGACCAGGGGGTCGAGTGGTGACGTGAAGTGCTGAGGTATTCTACTCGACCAAGGGGTCGAGTGGTCTGTTGAAGTCGTGAAGCATCTACTCGACCAGGGGGTCGAGTGGTTTGACATGATCAGGTCCGCTTCTTCCAGTTAGCTCGTCAACAGCTCTGAATAACCTGAAATTAACACAAATATGCAACATGCATGCAAAACTATCCTAAACATGCAAAGTGATGACAAATGATGAGAAATGGTATAAAACAGTGATGATATGGTGCTAAAGTGATGACAAATGGATGCTCAAAACATGCAAAATACACACTTATCATGTATAAGAACTTGAACCGCAACCGGATCTTGAAGGCCCAAGTAGTGTTTCCTTGTTAGAAGATACAAAGCCAAAGACTCATATGAACTTCGGCTACACCATCAAAACTTTGAGAAGCAAGAAGACGCTTGGTTAGTGTTTTGGAGTCAAATATGACTTGATGTCATGTGTATGATGGAGTGTAAGAACCAGAACCGCAACCGGATATTAAAAGCCTAAGTACTGTTTCGATGGTAGAAGATACAAAGCCAATGAATCATACGAACTTCAGCTACACCATCAAAACTTTGAGAAGCAAGAAGAAGCTTAGTTAGTGTTTTAGAGTCAAATATGACTTGATGTCATGTGTATGATTGAGTATAAGAACTAGAACCACAACCGGATCTTAAAAGCCTAAGTAGTGTTTCGTTGTTAAAAGATACAACGCGAAAGACTCATGTGGCCTTTGGTTACATTATTAAAGCTTTGAGAAGCAAGAAGAAGCTTAGTTAGTGTTTTGGAGTCAAATATGACTAGATGTCATGTGTATGATTGAGTATAAAAACTAAAAGTGCAACCCGATCTTAAAAGCCTAAGTAGTGTTTCCTTGTTAGAAGATACAAAGCCGAAGACTCATACGGAATTCAGCTACACCAACAAAGCTTTGAGAAGCAAGAAGAAGCTTGGTTAGTGTTTTTAGGTCAAATATGACTTAATGTCATGTGTATGATTGAGTATAAGAACTAGAACCGCAACAAGATCTTAAAAGCCTAAGTAGTATTTCTGTTTTAGAAGATACAAAGCCAAAGACTCATACGGACTTCGGTTTCACCATTAAAGCTTTGAGAAGCAAGCAGGAGCTTGGTTAGTGTTTTGGAGTCAAATATGCCTAGATGGCATGTGTCTGTTTGAGTATAAGAACTCGAACCACAACCGGATCTTGTAAGCCCATGTACTGTTTCCTTGTTCGAAGATACAAAGCCAAATTCTCATACGGACTTAGGCTAAACTATGAAAGCTTAGAGAAGCAAGAAGAAGCTTGGTTAGGCTAACCCTTTACCTAGTCAATACAAACCCACTACTGTGAAAAGAAACCCTTTACCTAGTCAAATGTTTCACAGAGACCCGGAGCCTCCAAACCCACTACTGTGAAAAGAAACCCTTTACCTAGTCAATACAACTTCACACCCGCGGCCGAGATTCCTCCTGCTCAGTCTTCCCAAGGGCGAGTCCGAGTTCAACCCCAACAAGCAAGGTCAGCAGCTCCACGAGTCTCCGACTATCCACCTCCTCAAGTTCTTTTCCAGAACTCCGTGAATCATGATCTCCCTGCACCTCTATCGTCACAAGAAGTCCAGAATGATGCAGCTAATCGATCGACTCCACAACATGACCCTCCAAGTTCTCCAATTCAGAACTCTCATGCCAGTCAACCATCTTCCCAAGGTAACAACTTCCAAGAACGTGTTAGTTCCGTGTTACCGGAACTCCAAGCCAATAACGTAAAGGCTCTAAACGACATTCTTCAAGTGCCTGGTCGTGAGGCGTGGACAACTGTTCTTTCTCCCATACTGATGGAAAAAACAACTTGGTTAGTCATCGTTTTATCTGGTTTTCAAATATTATTTAGGAGGTTGGTCTCTAGTTTAGAATTAAGTGTGTTTGGTCTTTGATTTCTTAACGTTTAGTTGATGTGTCTGGTTTTGATGTGTGAATGTATTGATTAGAGTCCGAGTGTATTGATGTGTGTGAGTGTATTGTGAAGTGTCTAGTTTAGTTGTGTAAGTCCTAAGAGTCTGAGTGTGATGGAAATCGATGAAGTTTGTTTCTTTCTTTCCTAACATTAGCTTTGAAATTTGAGTTAAGATAGTAAATGAGAAATCGAGTGTTGGAGTAAAGATTCATTGAGTATTGAACCTATGGAACTTGCTTTGATAGGAGAATGATCGAGTGGTCGTTGATAACACTTGAGCAGTCTCCATGCTTTGATAACCTCTGGAACTTGTTTTGATAGCTTTTGTGTAAAGAGGTTCTAGTTAGGGTTTATGTTTAGCTCAGTCTCCATGCCTTTATGTGTTTCTTTCTCTTTTAGCTCATTAGCTAGCTGCGCTAAGATTTAGTGAAGTGTTTTGGTTACTTGTTATATTTTGGTTTTGATGTCTGGTTTTGATTGAAGAATTGGTTTTGATGTTTGGTTTTGATATTGTCTTGTTTCTTTCTTAACAATGTATTGATTAGAGTCCGAGTGTATTGTGTAAATGTATTGTGTAAGTGATAAGAGTGTAAGTTTATTGTGTAAGTGATAAGAGTGTAATTTTATTGTGTAAGTGTATTATTTAGTTGTGTAAGTGTCTGGTTTATTTGTGTAAGTGTCTGGTTTAGTTGTGTAAGTGTGTTAGTGTATTGTGTAATGTGTAATGTTAAGTGTCTGCTTTAGTTGTGTAAGTCATAAGAGTGTAAGTTTTTTGTGATGTGTCTGCTTAGTAATAAGAGTCCGAGTGTATTGTGTAATGTTAAGTGTTAAACTTAGTTGTGTAAGTTGTGTGGGTCTATTATGATCTCTAGTATGCGTCTGGTTATGATGTGTGAGTCAATTATGATCTATGGTTTTAATGTGTTAGTGCATTGTGATCTCTAGTTTAAATGTGTGAGTGTCTTATGCATTTGATACGTGTATTCTTGTCATGTCTTTGTAGGTTTACTCGTGACACATCTTCGAGGTTGGTTCGAAAGATTACTAGAGTATGGACAAACAAATTTGATGGTGTCTTCTATAGCTGGTCATGTGTTCCACGGGATCGACGAGAAAGATACTTCCTCGAGTTTGCGGTTTAGTTTTTTTCTCTTGCATTCACTTAAATGTTTAGCTGTTAATTATCTTCACTAACATCATGTCTTTGTTATTTATTGAAAATACACCATTGGGATTCTTTGATTACAGGAACAATTCAGTACTATTTTGAAGATATATGTCAAAGACGGATGAAAGATATGATTAGCACTGTGAGGACTAGTCAAGAGTGTCCTAAATGGATCATCGATTCCCATATCTTGGAAACGATGTGTGCATATTGGGATATTGAAGAAGCAATTGCAAAGAGTCTGACATATTCCAAGGCTCGCATGGGCTCGGTCCTCACATAATGGGCTCGGTCCTCACATCC